GGTGGCGCGAGAGGCCATGGATGTTGATGCAGGAGCGTCTAGTGTGCCGCAAGCGGCCGAGGAAGCCCCAGCTGAAGAGGAGCCGTTGCCCAAAAAGCAAAAGGTTGACAGCACTGAGCCGGTTGAGGTCGACGCGGTCGAAGTTCAAGCACAGAGAGAGGTGGCTGCGAGTAACGGGTTGACCGGTCAGGACACTTCTGAGCAAGGCGGAAGTTTGGTGTTGACTCATCAGGTACGTATGATTGTGCTGTCTTTGCTCGCGCTAAGCTTGCCATAGGTCCGTCACCAAGTCGCACTCCCCCCTGGCTATCCCTATGTACCCATTAAATCACATATACCCCCGGAGAAACCTGCACGAGAGTATCCTTTCACGCTCGATCCTTTCCAACAACTTTCAGTGTATGCCATCGACCGGGATGAGTCTGTTCTTGTCTCTGCGCATACTAGTGCCGGCAAAACCGTTGTAGCCGAGTACGCGATCGCAAAGTGTCTACGGGACAAGCAGCGAGTAATTTATACGAGCCCGATCAAGGTACATATGGTCCCCAGATCAATGAGCTAGGCTGATTGTTTTCTAGGCGTTGAGTAATCAAAAATATCGAGAAATGCTGGCCGAGTTTGGGGATGTTGGACTTATGACTGGAGATGTGACCATAAACCCAACTGCGTCATGTCTGGTCATGACGACTGAAGTGAGCCGAGAGCAGTTAAAACTTGCTGCGATCCTTACCTCTCTAGTAGATTCTTCGGTCAATGCTTTATAGGGGCTCGGAGATCATGCGCGAAGTTGCCTGGGTTATCTTTGATGAAATCCACTACATGCGTGATGCAGGTTCGTGGTTTGCCAAGTTTTTTTGTCGTCAAGACTCATGCAGCCGATAGAACGAGGAGTCGTGTGGGAGGAGACCATCATTCTGCTGCCGCACAAGGTTCATTATGTTTTTCTATCTGCCACCATACCCAACGCCATGGAATTTGCGCACTGGATCACCAAAACGCACGAACAGCCTTGCCATGTTGTTTATACTAACTTTCGTCCGACGCCTCTACAACACTACTTGTTTCCTTCTGGCGGCGACGGGATCTACCTCGTTGTCAACGAAAAGAGCGAGTTTCGGGAAGACAACTTTCAAAAAGCTATGGGGAAACTCGCTGGCATGCAGGGAGAGGATCCGGCAGACCCGTTGGGTGGGCGGAATAAAAAGGGCAAGACCAAGAAGGGTGGTCCGACCAAAGGTGGGCGGTCCAGTCTTATGATTGGTCGATCTAACGAAGCAACAGGTCAATCTGACATTTACAAGATTGTCAAAATGATCATGGCGAAAAACTATAATCCGGTTATCGTGTTTGCTTTTAGCAAACGCGAATGCGAAGCCCTAGCGCTCCAGATGTCCAAGCTGGAATGCAATTCCGAGGAAGAGCAGGAGATGGTTCAGAACGTGTTTAACAATGCGATTGCTGCTCTATCCGAAGAGGATCGACAATTGCCCCAGATAGAGCACCTGTTACCTTTACTCAAACGAGGGATTGGCATCCATCATGGCGGTCTATTGCCCATCCTCAAAGAAGTCATCGAAATTCTGTTTCAAGAGGGGTTGATCAAGGTCCTGTTTGCGACCGAGACATTCTCGATTGGATTGAACATGCCGGCCAAAACCGTCGTCTTTACCGATGTGGAAAAGTTTGACGGCCGGTCTGTACGCCCTCTGTCGTCTGGAGAATACATTCAAATGTCGGGTCGTGCTGGACGTCGTGGGCTGGATGACCGCGGAGTAGTCATTATGATGGTTAACGCGAAACTGGAGCCTGCGACTGCAAAGGGGATGGTCAAGGGAGAGGCGGATCGGTTGGACTCGGCATTCCATCTTGGGTACAATATGGTTCTCAACTTGATGAGGGTTGAAGGCGTGAGCCCAGAATACATGCTCGAGCGTTGTTTCTATCAGTTCCAAAATGGTGCCAAGGTTCCAGGACTCGAAACTCGTGAGTGTTTGTCAGGCTATTGATCGCCGCTAACATCAGAGCAGAGTTGGCCGAGTTGGAGGAAAAACGAACCGGGTTTATTGTACCAGAGGAAGAATCCATTGGCGAATACTATGATATTCGAAAGCAACTCGACGACCTTGGAAACGATTTTCGAGCGGTAATCACGCATCCCACGTATGCCTTGCCGTTTTTACAACCTGGCCGGCTCGTCACTGTAAAACATGGCGACCAGGATTTTGATTGGGGCGTTGTTGTCAACTTTTCGCAACGTACTGCTCCCAAGGTATGTCTGGTGACTGGCTTCAACACACTCGCTCACGCGACGATAGACTAAATCGGCAGCGACGGCGTTTGAGGCTCTTCCACCTCAAGAGAAATACGTCGTGGACGTCCTTTTGAATTGCGCAAAGGGTTCAACGACCAGCACCAAGTCTGGCCCTACAGAGGGTGGTGCGTTCAAACCCTGTCCCCGGGGACAAGAGGGCGAGCCGCTCGTGTGCCCGGTTTTGTTGTCGACTATTGCGAGCATCAGCCATTTGCGAGTTCACTTGCCAAAGGATTTGCGGGCTGCTGCTCAACGGGAAACACTGTGGAAGGTTGTGCTCGAGATTAAACGACGGTTCCCTAACGGGCTTGCGCTCCTTGACCCAATCGAAAACATGAACATCAAGGATGCCAAGTTTAAAGACCTAGTGGAGGTGAGTGCTTGAGAGCTGTTGTAGTATGTGACTCACGCCTATTTAGCGCATTGCTACGCTCGAGAGGCGGCTGGAAGCCCATAGTCTGCACAGCGATCCTCGTTTGCCTACCATATATGACGCCTATGCCCAAAAGCAGGATCTTGTCGGCGAGATTCGGGCACTCAAAAAGACACTGGCGGCCGCGCATGATGTCATGCAAATGGATGAACTCAAGTGCCGGAAGCGTGTGCTTCGCCGACTTGGATTTGCAAGCGCAAACGATGTGGTAGAAATCAAAGGGCGCGTGGCCTGCGAGATTAGCACCGGAGACGAACTCCTCTTGACAGAGATGATCTTCAACGGCGTGTTTAATTCCCTGTTGCCCGAGCAGTGCGCTGCGCTCTTGAGTTGCTTTGTGTTTACTGAAAAGGTGGGGTTTCATATGGATCCTGAAAACAGGCACTGAATTTAAGCAGAGTGAGCAAGCGACCAAGCTCAAAGAGGAGCTCGCTGGACCGTTGCGAGTACTCCAGGAAATTGCGCGACGGATTGCCAAGGTGTCCAAGGAATCCAAACTAACGCTGGATGAGGAAGAGTATGTGCAATCGTTCAAGGTTGAACTCATGGATGCGGTTTTGCAATGGTGCCGAGGTGCAAAATTTGCGGATATATGCAAGGTCGGTTCAAGTGCTGCAACCCGTAATTGCTTCTAACGTTTTTCGTAGATGACCGACCAATTCGAGGGCAGTCTGATTCGCGTTTTTAGGCGACTTCAAGAGCTTATTCGGCAGATGACCCAAGCGGCCCATGCGATCGGAAACACCGAATTGGAGGAAAAGTTTACCAAGGCGTCTGAAATGCTTGAGCGTCAAAATTCGGTCATTTTCTGCTCGTCACTGTATCTTTAGATCTGTCATTCGCCTTTTCGTCGGAGTCCTTTCCCCTATCTTATCTAGTTGGTATGACTATCTTGCTTTTGGGTGGTGCCTGCTTCCGTTGTATTTTGACTATGCATATATCGAAAACCGGGCCACTGTAGCTCGAAGCATTACCGTTGAATGAGAAATTTGTCCGACTTTTACAACGCCGCTTAGGGTGGAAGTTTGGCCGCCCGTGGCTAGTTGGTTTGCTAGTTTCGGCATTATTCTGAGTGCGATAATGATTCTTCCATCCATATTTACCTGCTTGAAGAAATAAGGTACGAACTCCAATTGACGTCAACCCAATTTTGCGACCTGTTATCGATACATCGAATAACAAGGAGATAACCATTGAGCTACGTAAACCCGGTGAAATCGTTGCTAACAACATAGTGTTCGTATCCGGAAATGTTGTGCCGAATATTTGGCTGCGACAGCGTAATGGCGAGTGCCCAGTAGTCTACCCCCGATCCCCCCGAGGTTACCCGATACCCTTTGGAGGTAGGGTCGGTACTTTCGCCCAAAAGGGGTGCGATAGTAGAGCAACAGATAACCTTATTGGTGCGATCTTGCGGATAAAATAACTAGTCCCCCCCCCCCGTCTTGTTACCACATGCAGCATATATGCTGTGTTTTCTACTCTTCTTATGTACGTAGCTCTTATACTCTATAAGATCCGTATGTAAAGCACAAAACCGGGTTCCATCCAAAAAACGGGACGGGGATATGGACGAGGAACCGGAGGGGGTACCGATCGGCAGGTATACAGCACGCCAGGAAATAGTCCAAACGGCTCTTTAAGCTTCTGGGATTATTCAGTAAGGAGATGGAAGTCGTTTGCACTTTGAATCATTCAAAACGGATCAGGTATTGGCGAGATATGGCCTGTGAAACATCATTGGCAAAAAAACAAAACTCCAGTTTTACAGCCGCCATATCTCGCCAATACCTGATCCGTTTTGAATGATTCAAAGTGCAAACGACTTCCATCTCCTTACTGAATAATCCCAGAAGCTTAAAGAGCCGTTTGGACTATTTCCTGGCGTGCTGTATACCTGCCGATCGGTACCCCCTCCGGTTTCTCGTCCATATCCCTGTCCCGTTTTTTGAATGGCACCCGATTTTGTGCTTTACATACGTATATTATAGAATATAAGAGCCAAGTACATAAAACGAGTAGAAAACACAGCATATATGCTACGTGTAGTAACAACACGGGGGGGGGCTCGATTATTTTGCCCGCAAGGGTACATGCTTCCGGCCCTATTATATGCGCGCATATAGAGCCTATGAACAGCTTCCTCTTCAAATATGTTGTCTGACAGGCGAAAGCCGAGCTAAGGGGGGCCACAGAAGGCATAAACCTAACCAAACGGCTAAAAATATGAATGGTCATCATCACCACTTCCAACAACCCTTGATAGCTCAGCTGGAAGAGCGCGAGACTGTAATTGATGCTTACGTAACATCTCGAGGCCACTGGTTCGATCCCGGTTCGAGGGAGTCCTTTTTGGAGCTGTTTTTAGCTCCAGAAAGCATTCCCGATACCCAAAAACGACTTGCCAAAGTACCAAGTCGAAAAAGTTGAAATTTCTAAAAATCAAGAATTTTTGACCTGAAAATAGGTCTTTTACCACATTCCAGACCTCTAGAAACATGCACCGCAGTCGTCTGCACTGCCAAAACGCCAGTTGTCAAGGAGCCAGCCAGGTGTTTGCGCGTTTTGATTGGGACGTGTTACGCGCCCACGTGCACGCCACCTTTTTTGATCCAGCGACCACCGCGAATGCTGTCGTACGAAAAGACGCGTCGGTCGCCCTTGCCGACCAGCGCCGTCGACGAAAAACACTACTTGACTTCTCGTCCCTGGACCACACTTTTCTTCGTTCCGCTCCCGTTTGTTCGCCGTCGCTTGCGGGTTGCTCTCCCCCTTCCGGAGCGAATACGAGGGGCAGCGTCTTCTAGTTTGGGCCGATGTTTTATAATTACCATACTCGTTTTCACGAGCCTTCTCGGATATACACTGCTACGGCGACTGGTCCACACCGACCGAGACTGGTCCCAGCCTTTTACGCGACCGTCAACCCTCGTCTTTGAACAATCCGAGCTGAAAAAGATTTGGGAATGGGAAATTGCCAGCGGACATTATCCAAGCACAAGATCCAGTAGGTGATTGTATCTATTTTTGTATTCCCACTCACAGTGCCATAGTCCCTTCGGTCATCGAACTGACCAAACCGCCCCAGAACCCGAGCGTTCCGGCAGCCAGATGGATCAACAATGAGCTCAAAGCCCATGGCCAAGAAGTGACTTATTCTATCGGTACAGGTTTTCCCCGTCGCTACCCTACCATCAAGCGACAAGGCCCAAATTATCCTCCGAGACCCCCGCCCGGCGCAATAGCCGACTTGGACATTATCATGGACCGCTGCGAATTTTCAACCAACAAGGTGAGCCGGCCCGTGCTTATCTCGGCAAAGATTGACACGGCAAACAGTACGTCAAAGACTGCCTCGAGTTTATGCGTGTTGGAACTGGCCTGGATGGCGATGATCGTGTCCGACGCACAAACCTGGACCAGTACAACTACATTTTTGTCGAAGAAGAAACTGACAACACTGCCTCGGCCCCGCAAAAATCACTCCCGGTACCAAGTCAAAAACCAAAACTGGTGCTCAACCGTCAAGGCCGTATCGAGCCCCCGCTTGTGCTCCCTCCGGTCCGGCCCCCACAAATGTTTAATGGCACTTGCGACCCCGATTACCCCCGCATATATCATATGTATTGGGCCGGTCCATTCACCGACAAGCCATATGTAGCTCTACTCTCCTACTTGTTCACCCAGAATCTCGGACTCGACTCGAGCACGCCTTTTGCGGGCTGCCGACCTCAATTCTGGATGTGGATCAACCCTGCTCCAACCGCCTTGATGCCCAAACCCACAGCAGAACACGACATGTTTGAAGACTTGAAGACTAGTCCTTGGGCGTCTCCGTTTTTGCACCCCCGTTTTGCCGATGTCGTCAAGTTCAAGCTGTGGAACACGACGCAACGGCTAGACTCGATAACCGAACTCAAAGACGAATGGCGAACATACAAAGACGAGCTGTTCAATTCGGGGGGATATGTCTACAAGGTCAAAGCCGAGGCACTAGCCAATAGGACCGAGAGCCAAGGATCCGACTCTGAGCAAAAGAGTAAAATTTCAACTATTGTGTCGGACCTGGCAAGATTTGTTCTATGCCACAAATTTGGTGGAATCTATCTCGACGCCGACACTATTCTCTTGCGAGATTGGGAAGAACTATGGGGCTGGCGTGGGGCGTTTGCCTATCGATGGTCTTACCACGAAGCATACAACACGGCCGTCCTTCGCCTGAATCGAAACAGCGCAATAGGCTCGTTTTTGTTCCGGACAGCTCTCCATAACAAACTCGACTTTCATCCGATGACTGTCTGGAAGTATATGCAAGATGCATATCTTGAGGGACTCTTGCTTCGGCTGCCGGATGCATTATTTGACAGCACGTGGTTGCACTGGGAAGGATACCAAAGGGACAGGCCGCCATTTCCGACGTTTACAGAGTGAGTGAGCTTTGAGAGCCTTGAGCATGATTTGACCCAGAGACAGTTTCAAACATTTCTTCAAGCCGCCAGCCGTCGATGGAGCAGCTCCTAGTGCACTCGGATTTCGGGGATTTTTCTCTGGGGCCATGTCATACCACTATCACAATTGTTGGAAGATGCCATTTGACCCGGCTCGCAATTATCCTGAACTTGGGCCACGGTTCGCCATAGGAGAAATGCGAGCCAAAGAGATGCTACGAGAACAATCTCTCGCTGACGAGGATGATACAAACCAGGAGCGCGAAAAGCCAGACGACGAGGTGGACCTGTCTTGGTCTACGGTGATGAAGCGCACTTTCGAGGCGTATATTCGGGGAGAACGCCCTAACATGTATGGAGAGTGGATCCGATGGTGATATAGTGTATAGATAGTGTTGTACAATATAGACGATTTGGTTAGGCAAGACCAGCGTGTGCCGTTGACCCCTATTTTGTTCCAGGGCCACTCCTAGCATGCCGAACTGGGACATCACCTTAAAGCAGCTTTATGCGGCAATGCATCATGGAGCCCATCATCCGGTAGACTGTTCTATGCTTCGGTTGCTTTCGTAAATCTCGGCCTGGTACTTTCTTGTTCGTGCACCACTACCGAACCCGACGAGGTTGTCTTGCCGAACAGACGTCATACAAGATCTTGCTGCGCGGGTACACAGCCAAAACTGCGCGAGTTAAAACGCATAGTTATCTTTGGCTAATGCTCAACTGCTGCCATGAACCCCAATGAACCACCACCTCCTTATTGGCCTTCTGTCGCCACCGACACTGATTCATCCGCCAAATCTGTCCCGAGCTGCTCTGCGTCGCCCATCGCAAGCGATTCCAAGCCTGATAAAGGCGATGGGACCTTTTCATTGCCAAAGCGGCCTCGCGCACCTAGTGGATCCACAATGATGATTCCAAGTGCGTTCAAGGTCGGGTCAAAGCCTCTGGACCCGTTTGAACTGGTCACCATTCCCGAGATATGCGCACACCTATCTCTCCTCGGCGCCTTTGCTAAACTCAAAAGTCAAATCAAGCTCCAAACAGGACCCGACGTTCAGACATCCCCAAATGAGCTCTGGGCAACCTACCTCGCTCGCGCTGTAGACCGATTTGCGGCTTGGGTCAAGAACGGATTGTCTGGACAACCTGGCCTCGCGAGAACTCACCGAGGATGAACTTCCGCCGCTAGACGTTCTCATGGTCTGGCATACGTATTTGCTGAACCCCCGGGGTACTATGAGGACTGCCAAAAAGGAAAGTCATGACTTTTAGGAATAAGGTGTGTTACTTTAGCCAAGAACGTTTCCATTTTGAAAATTGCATAGAGAATTCCCTCTGCGGCTTGTCGACCGAATCATTAATATCGACACACTCTCCCCGGTCGAGCCAACTCTCGGAAGCCGGCAACGTTTCGAGATGGCCACGGGCCGAACATGGGACGCCCCTCTAATTACCACATTCTCTGACACTACATTTGTCCCGTGTCCGCGTTGTGAGCATAAAACGCTCACCGAGGTTCCCTGGATCACAGCTGAAGGAACCGGGTTTGCGCAGCATGGTTTCAAAACACGATGCCATTCATGCACAAATGAATTTGATCGAGATGTGCGAGCAGAGCGTTCCTTATATAGAGTGTAACTCGACTATAGACAATGCTGGTTCGCGAATTGTGCGACGATATCACACAAGTACGGCTAAACCTGGGCGATCACTCAACCTTTATTGCGCAAGTAATCCTTTGCTGGTGCAACTCTATACTGATCCCCTCCTAGTGGTACTCTTTTGGATTCGAAAACAGGTATCCCCCATCCAGGGGTAGCCACTCGCAACAATGGGATACTGCTCAAGGTTTGCCCCCGTCGCACTCTTTCTAACGAGAGTTGACGTGCCACGTAGAAATTTCTTGCTCCCTCGATGCCAATGTTCACTCGAGGAGATCAGCTAGCGAATTACCTTGGATATTCGATTCAACGAGTCGAAGAGCTGCTGAAGAATGCCTTGTCAGCGCGTAACGGAGGCCAGCAGTGGGTGTATGCGTATGATAGCCGGTTCCGAGCTAACTATCAAAAGGGTTACACGTATCCTGAGTTATTATCGGTGTCCCAACTACCCGTTCTCAATCGAGTTGTGCGGAGCGCTGAGCGATACGGCTAATTTTCTAGAATACATGCTGAATCTAGGCAGATACTTCGCCAAGGGTCTTTTATCGAAAAGATGGTACAAATAGGATAGACAGAGCCAAGGACATTCGAGAATAATCCATCGATGGTTATGCGCTGCATCGCACGATACAATGCTTGGTTAGATCTAATGACGCAGGTACCAAGACTATCGTTGGTGCCAACACTTGTAAGTTTATGTCTCTGGTGTGACACAAAGCTTACCCGGCCATAGGATATCGTAGGTCCAACGTATCAGCTCCGTTTACAACCTAATTGCCCGCACAGGATCTGGCCTGGCATACGCACCAACTCAAGCAGGAAGCCTACAGGTCAAGGGGGGTTCAGAACCTAAGCGCCGGACGTGGGGGCTCCCCAAATGTTGAGATAACGAAACCCACCCACCCACCCTCCAAAATGTTGGGAAGCGCTAATATTCAAATAGATACCGCCGGCAATTCGTGTCAGCTGACAGCTCACATGTGTGTCACTGAGACCGCGGCACATCCAAAATCGCTAAGCGAGCCAAATGTGACTGTCACGAATGAATTACTCGCATCTTTCGAGTCGGAAAGTGCGCAAGAGCATATATAGCGCAGAACGACGCTCTTTGTAGAGCTAAATCGTACTCCATTGAGCAGCATCCTTTGTAGTTCGGGCTTCAAATTGTTCGTTTCGTTAGTACAAAATCCATGATTCACCAATTGAGCGGACGATTTATTCGATTCAAGCTCA